GCGAATGGAACTCGTTCTCGAAACAAATTGATTTTTTTCCACCGTTGGAAAGAGAACGACGACGAAAGAGAAGTTGGAAAGGGAATGTTGGATTTAACGAGAACTTAAGGAGGCGCTTAACGATGCGCGCGACGTGGCTCGATTTCCAATGAATCGGCGGTTTTAATCGGATCGTTTGAAATCCGAACACTTGGATAAAGGACTCGGCGACAAATGGAGCACCTTGCAGCTTCGTACGAAATCAGAATGCAAGGTGTTCGCCTTCTACGCGGCCTGGAAAACTTTATTCAGAATTGTTCCGTGTCTCGAATAAACACGCAAATGATGTTCGCGGAGATCTTGATCCAATTAATCGTAATTATCCGATAATCGATACTCCTTCGATCGATGATGATTTAATCCGTTAGGGGGAAAAAAAAAACATTTAGTCAATGATAGCGTGTTCCAAGTGAATCAGTCGAGGACAACTACCGTTTAAACTATCCGTTCCTATATCGATATCATTTTGAACCGCGATCAAACCTTTCGATCTGTCGCTACAAGTAAAAGTTGAATATATAAATAGAAACAGTTGTGGAATATAAATAGAATATCTCTCGATTGCTCAACAGAAAGGTTAATTATACATCACACCTTGAATATATACAAGAAATCTTAATATGCAAAGTGTGATTTGACGCTACGCTATTCCAGGCTTGAGCAGTAAATTTCAATTTATTCTTTTTTCTTTTCTTTTCTTTCTTTCTTTTTTATTATAGCCAGTTTGATTACAAAATAAGTTTTCCCTCTAATGACGAAATTTTTCCAGTCAATACGGTTTCTCGCGAGCCCATCGCTATGATTAATCATACGAATGATGTCGCGTGGCACGCGCGAATCCAACAGATTGAGCATCGGCAGGGCATTAATTAAGGCCACGCACGAAGAGTCGTAACATCTGTACTGTTACCCGTTCATTTTTCTCGCTAATCCAATGACTAAACCCTCGTTAGACTTTCATAAGAATCCTTAGCGACCGGACAATTAATTTTCCAATTTTACGACGATATATCTCTCGCTAATTGCACAATCCATCGTCGTTCCTCCACTTTGGCCTTCGTTCCCCTCATTTTTTTCTTTTTTTTCTTCCCCCTCTTTTCCCTCTTGCTCCTGATCTCTCTCGCTCCTGGTATATTTCCGTTCTTTTCTCTCGATCGAATAGGCCGGTTTAATAAACGAAACGATTATTGAAAATGTAACGAAGGACGGTAGAGCTATTCAGGTCCATCAAGGCCCAAACCGACGGGTATCAACGGGTATAACGATCGTCGAAAATAACGTAATCGTACACCGATTACGCTTTACATTATATACAATGAGTCATAGTTTTGATTACACCTTTCCTTTCGATAAGTGGCACGTGTCTCGTGGAAAAGGTCGCGTAGTGTAAAACGAGTAATTTCTTCTTCACAATCGACTTTCAATTTTGCGCGATATTACACGTTATATACGTGTTATGTAATAACGTGTAATCAAAAATAACTCGATCAAGAGTTGACTCGCGAGTACGGTGATTGCTCTTCACACGCATTCTTTCCGAACGACAAACTTCTTGACAAACGAGGAGGGATAATATTGATTGAACGTAATGAAAGGATTGGAGGGTTAAAATCTTCAAACGTTGAGAAATTAAATAATTTATTATTGTTTAGAGGCAAAAAAAAAACGATCGTTTATCAGATAACTTTGTCGAAAACTTAATCGAAAACAAGTTTACAGATCTGAGTATTCACAGATGCATCGTGGAAGGAGGGAACGGTATGCGTGTAAATTACCAAGAACAGGTTTCAAAGATTAAAATACGCACGTGATTCCTCGATCTAGATTCCTCGAGCGTATAAGAATAAACAACGTTTCCTTCGAAGTCGTCCGTAAGATTCCATTACAGTTTCGAAGAGATTCATATTCACAATTATAAAATAATTATCGCAAAGAAGAATTTCTTTTTTTTTTGATCTTCTGCAAGATCAGTCGCTCTGAGAGCTATACTTTTCTCGAACATTCATCGTGAAACGATTTTTCATATGAAATAAGAAGGTTCGAGTGAGAATTTTTCATCCACACAATATGCTTCACGGTGTGATTTGACCTCGAACGATGGGTGGATCGATATTTAGGAGATATCGCGATCGTTCAAGGATTAACAGCGCCCATGATGTTGGAAAGCACTGGTCATTTCCTTGCGGCTAAAAATTGCGCTAATTATCGGGTTAAGGTCGATAATTCCATTTTTGACGAAGGTCAAGAAATCATCCACGCGTAGGCACGTAGTAGGTTTAACCCTTGTTTCTTAATTTTAGTCAGAATATCGACGACGAATGAGACATTTACTTACTTACTGACTTACATTTTTGAATAATAAAATCATTCTTCTAGGAATTGACTTATATAACTTTTACTTTATTATTGTAAGAACATTCTAATTACCCATAATTACTCATCATTACTCGTACATCGTAATTCAAACATTTTAAAACGATTATTCTATTGTAATTTATTCCTTCCTTAACGTGATTGGCAATTTAATTCAATGCTAGTATTAATCGATATTTAATATGCTAAATTTATTCTTTTAAATCAATTATCATCTATTATCAAACAAAATTTCTCAAGTAGCAAACATACGTACATACATGCATGCATACGTATTAAACAAATTAATAATTAACAGAGTTAAAAAAGAGTTAAAAAATTCGTTTGAAATTAAAAAATTGCCTCGATCGTAACGAAATAACAAAAAAAATTCATTCCTCTTTCAATAATTAACTATCGTGGAACTATATAAATCATAGAAATTTAGATAAAGAGATAATTTTGCGTGATAAATCTTGCGATATCCTTGCTACTCGTAACTACCAGTTAGTCACTTATACTTATATAATAACGCGATATAATAACAGCAATCTTGCTTTAATCGAATCATTATGGATCGTTATTTTTTTTCAATATCGGCAAATCGATGTAACTGAATGGAAACAGAACCTTGTTCCATTTCAGTCCCGCTTTATCCTTTCCTGCTTTCACGAAGAGACAATTCCTGCGAGGTGAAAGGACAAGGATCGATCCTCAAATTCGGCCTCGATGAAAAAAAAAAAAAGAAAAAAGAAAAGGAGAGAATCGAATTCCCTTGAATCCACCATTGAATTTCCACACGGAGACGCAGAATGCTCGGCCTCGAAATCGTTACACGCGAGAAAGAAGCGAGAAATGGCTTCTTGCGTATGGAATCCCGCGATAATCGGATGACACCGATTTATTCCCCGCCCGAGATTTATCGCCGGAAATTATGCGAACTTCTTGGGAACTTGTTGGCGAGCTCTCGATGAGATTATTCTTGGGACTAATTGCCCTCCTCCTTCGCGTTGCTCGTTTGTTTGATAAAAGCTGCGGTAATTCGAGATACCGAAGAATCTTGGACGATGATCTTTCGTTACGAAAATTGCGAAATGAAATTGTATTTGCATTTAAAATATCTTTTTTCTATAAATCGAGGAAGGATTTATGTTTAGAAAATTTTACATCGTATCATTTATAACTCTGATCTCGAACATTTGATGAGATATAAGTGAAATAGTATATTGGAATTGTTATTTTATCAACGAGAATCGTTGAGGAAGAGATTCAAGGAAATACGAATGATTTGATTCAGGACCATCATATTTTTTTGTTTTTAAAAATTGTCTCAATTGTTTTCGAGAATAAAATCGCAAAAATAACGACGACGAATCGACAAGAATACATCACTTCTTTTTAAATAAATAATAATTTTATTTTGAAAAGGCATCGAATTAATTTCCAGAGCGATACGCATTATTCGTCTCGTCGTTTATTTTACAAAGTATAAAAGATTCTTCGTACAATGGGACAGTGTCTCTTCAGACATCGTACCAAAACACGATTTTTTTTCCTTTTTTTTTTTTCTTCCGCTCTGAATATTCTCTCAAATCCCAGACGATGGAGAGAAGAAAAGAAAAGACAGATTTCCCATTCAAGAGGTCTCTATTCTTCACTTTTATCACGAGGATCGTCGCGTCAGCGCGAATCTCTGGCGCTTTTTTCTTTTTCTTTTTTCAGCGTGACGAACCGTGTTGAAGAAGACGTCGCGATAAATCGACCCGTCTAGACCGAGAAAATGGCATCGAGAGTTTCGTGTTTTTGCTCGTGTATTAATTTTGGCCAGGGCGTGACGTTAGTCGCGATAAGATCACGGCTTGAACTCGATCGTGCAGCTCTTGCAACCGCGTACTTGACGTCATTAAGTCTTGAATCCGGATTCCGATCGCGATACGGTGTAATCGTAATATGGAATCGTCATCGGAATATGTCGAATGCTTTAATTAAGATGGCATGGATAATCAACGGTAATTCGATTTTGCAATGGAAATCCCATGCCCTCGAGTACCGATTTTTTTCTCTTTCTCCGTGATGCTTAGCGGTTAAATCGATGGAGATTCGATGGATGAGATTCGAATGAAAATGCAGTTTCAACAGATATTTTAAGAACGACTTGCGTTCAATATTCAAACTTACTTCTTCATTTCGATAATTTTTCAAATAATATTCCAAGCTTGAAGCGTAAAACGGAGTATGGAACAGCAGCATCGATCCTTTCTCATTTTTCTACGTTAAATCGTCGTCAAGACATAACCCTTGCTTATTATCATTCAAAATCGTGCCCAATAATCTCAACGAATTTTCGATAATATTTCAAGAAAGCCGGTAGCAAAACGCTCGTAGTCGTCGAGCTGGAACTAGACGACTAACGCGCAAACGAGGAAGACACGGTTTCTCTCACGATCGATGGGAAGAGATAACGCAAGAAGCGGCGAATCCGAGGAGCGCCGATTTCCCCGAAGCGATGGTGTCCTTGACCATCGTCAAGGGCCCGTTCCAGAGGGGGTTCGGTCCAGAGAGGGATCAAGAGGGACGGTGGCCTCCAGCGGCGACATATAAGTCTCAGGAGCACTCCCCACCTCGCGTCAAACGTTCCCGGTACGGCAAGCGCGCGGTATACACCTACGATCCACCTTTTATCGTTTCCTCCTCTGCTTAGGCCCGCGAGTCCTAGCCTCGGCGGCGAGCTTACCACGGATAGGAGGGAGAGACATACCTGTTGTTCAGCCAACGGTGTAACGAGAACGTGGCGGAGGAACACGCATCATCGTGTCTGTATCGAGCTAAACTCGCAGCACTGCATTATCAGTTCTCCTCACCGCGCGGATTTCAAGAGAGCCGCCTCTGTTGAGCGTCGTCGCGTGTTGGTCGAATTCGTTTCCACTTTTGAACGGACCATGATGAGGATCGTAAGTAATATTGCGTATATCCGTGAACGACGGGTGTGACGACACAGTGTTTTATACTTTCTTGAACGAACTCCGTTGGAGCCACGATATCTACGAGTGAAAGTAAGAGAAAAATGTTACGTATTTTCATTTCTGGATTCACCACGCTCTGGATTCGATCGCGTCGTATCCTCGACTCGAAAAAAAAAAAAAGAACGCTTTGAACGAGAAAGTTGGAGTTGTGACGATGATCGAAATAAAATCGTTAATGAATCGTCGTATCGTCGCGTTTTCTTCTCGTTTTCGTCGAACAGAATTAAGAAACACCCCGCGCGGAAGAGGTCCGTGCGAACGGGGAAGGGAAGCTTTGCGCTCGGTGTTGGGCCCGCGTGCGATTAATTGGAGGGGCGGCGGTATCGGTGGGGGAGACTTTCGCGGGAGACTAGATCGCGCGCTTTTATATAGCGAAGCAATATCGCGAGCTCCCTGTTCGATCGATCGTCTCTCGGAGAAGTCTCGGTGGTCGGTGCTCGGTTCGGCACATGACTCGTTACATCGGAACACGTGAGCGAGTAATTCGTTCCCCCATTGCAGTTCCCGGGGAAATGAGGTGTTTGACTGGATATCGTCGGTAGTCGGATCACACGAGGATCACACGCAGGATGACACTGTTCCAAGTGAGAATAGATTAATTAATCGAGTTGAAAATAAAATAATCGTAATATTTTTTGAACGGACAATCGATTCGAACTTTTTTCGTAAATTTTGAGATCGATGATCGAAGTTATATGATTCTCTGGTCCGTTTTCGTTTCGCTCGAGATTTTTTATGCACGTTAGCCACGATCGAGGCTAAGAAGCCTATCTTTGAGAGGCCTTTCACGCGCGCGCTTTCTACGATTTTCGATCTCAAATTACTTGCCGCGCGATGAAAATCGTGTCCAACCATCAATCTTAATTGTTCGATAAAAGTGTGTTATCGTCTCGAGTATCTAACTCGCGATAGAGATCTAGAGAGAGCACCATCCTCGTCGCGATCACGTAAAACGTGCGCATCACGAGATCCTCGCGTATTCCGACTTAACTTTCTACATCCTCGTTTCTGGAACCGTGCCTCGTATCGCGAATCTATGCTTGCAATCGTGCTTATATACTATATATATATATATAGCTAGCTCGACTATCAACATTCTCGTTTCATGGCTCTTATATACGATTATAACATTCGAAAGAAATCGTAGATTTTAAAATAATAATAACTCTATAATATTTCTATTTTTATCTTCCGTATATGCTATTATAATTGCCGGTAGATTTATTTCCAGAAAAAGTTCGTTAGCTTCTCTTCCTTCTATCCACTATAATACAATATTTCCAAATCTTCTTTCTCCTCCTGTTCTCATTCTAATTATTACAAAAGTAGGTCGCGAATTTAGTTTCGAAACTTCATTTCTCTCGCTATCGTCCTCGATACTTTTCGAAACATCTTCTTCGTTCTTCATTATTGTAACGGTTCTATTCCTTGGTGATTTAATTCGAAAGTTTCGGAAGTTGGTTTAATAACTTCTCCGTCACTTTCTTTTAACCAAGATTCTTCTTCGTTGCGCTCCTTCTTTATTATCGCTTTCGTCACACTTCTTTTCGAGGAGAAAGTAATCGCATCAGTAGATTACGTACGGTTAATTACCAAGTCTCCAAGTGTGAAACGGAATACATACGCTCTCTTTCTCTGTTTGCGGAGGAAGGAAGGAGAAGGAAGTTGAACGGACGGAGGAAATCCGGCTCGGATTCATTCACTGGATCTAGCCGGTGGCGAGACAGGTCCATGTCCTTGCCCGGGGCAGTTGTAACGTTCGACTAGCGTCTGCTTCGTCTCTTAACCCATTGCGCAACGCGTATATCACTAGCGGCAACCTGTCTGTCGGGACGATTATCACTCTATCGATCGTTCGATCGATACAAGTTTGATGGAAATTTTAACACACCGTAATGTTTACAGTGTTTTCTTACTTAGTTATATTTTCCATTTTGTAACATATTTTACAATTTTCGTATTGTAATGATAATTTGACATAATTTGATATCACGGTTGGATGGTAATATTATCGATTTAACGTAAATTTATCACGTTTCTCATCCAAATCCTTCGTTTTTAAACGTTTCGTTGGTATTTTTTCGCGCTCTTTTAATATCAAATTTGCTCGTCTCTTTAGAATTCTATCGATTCGGCATCTCTGGATTAAATTGTTTGATACAATGTTCTCGTGCGTTCTTGCAAGGATTAAAAAAATGTTCAAAGCGATTTTCCTTAAAATTGTGATATCTGATATCAACGATAACGAAGGAACGTTTCGAAATGTTGAATTAAGAAAGGTGGTTATATTTTGCGGTTGAATCATAGATCGCATGGGTGATTGCGTAAACGAATAATATCCATAGAGGAGATAGAATAAAAAAAGTTCCGGATCAGATCGGAACAATGAGGATAATACGCGTTTCAGCCGCGGGAATTGCTCGTTGTAAAAATTCAATCGAGCATTGTGAAACGAGGACTGAAAACGGCTCAACTTAATTTCTTTTCTGTACTTTTTTGGATTAAATTCGAGTCACGCATGAAAAACGTCATTAATCGATTTCTAAAACAACCACCGATTTTAGTTAAGATTCAATATTTACAATAAAATTTTTAGAGATTCTGCAAAATTGTTGAACCTCGTTGAAGAAAACTCGTGGAAGGAGAAAAAAATCTATACTCGAAATTCCATCGTGAAAATTTCTTTTTTTAAATATTCCAAAGCGTTATTCCAGAGAACTCGTTCTGCAAAATTTATTGGCAAATAAAAATTTAAAATTGCGTGGAATCAGAAATTAATTTCGAAAGTTAATTTCGATTATTCGATTACGAATTTATTGAAATCGGTTTCTCAAATCGCAATGGATTATTTTATCTCTTAAGTAATTGATTATCCACTTTCTAATCAAATTATCATACCGAATTATCAACAGTGCTGTATTTTAACGATATTCGTGCTATAACCGAATCGAATAAGATGATAAATATATTAATACATCAGTTGTTCTCTGCCAATCATAAACCAGTTGATTTCAAAAAATTCACTGAATCATTCAATCGTCGAGATATAACGTCTCTGTACATAGCCTCAAGTTTGGAAATTGGACGAGAATCGAAGCTAAAAATGGGATTCTTGAAGCAATACCAGAAATCCTATAATAGTATAACGAAACTGGTCAGAGAAATTGCAAAGCAACGAGATACGCGAGTACATTTCGTTTCGGAGGATCTAGTGCGTGAACGACACACGCCAGTCAGTTAGTACCATTATGGTATCTCGAATCGATTTTAGGCCCATTACGATACTGTTTTTTGCCGCGTTTTACGAGGATACGATTTTTCTTCCGATAATGATCGTGATAATATTTCTGTATCGGTTGTGATATTATTTATATACTGCGTTGAAACGGGGGAATTGAGAAATCGACTGTGTTATTACGAGGTGTGACAAAAAGGTTTTATAATTTCGCTGTTCGAAAGAAATGTTGGTCACGTCGACAGCAACGTCGACCGAATAATGTCGATTGTATGCACATACGTAGCAAGAAAAGTTTTACGTGAAACCATTTCTCAAACTTGTAACTTGTTATTTGACCTTTCAAAGATTGGACAGGGTAGCTTGGATGTGCTATTAGTCATACGACAGAGTTGCTTGACTTCGCGATCGTTATCCTTTTCTCTTATCGATAAAACTGTATACCTGAACGCTTATAAATCATTGAATTAACCTTTCGATGCCGCAGAAATACTTCCTCGTACACTTTCAATAACCATAAATCATGAAACTACGAGGCAGATATTTGAAGCTTTAATCAAGCCACCTTCGTAATCACTTGTTCCGGATGAATTAATAACATTGACTCGGATCAGGAAGGAGCAGTTGTAACGTGTACACGAGCTACACGTTTTCTGCAGGGCGAAAGTGATCGGATTGGAAAGGAGGGGAAGAAAGATCCGTTCACGATCTTTACTTATTTATTTATTTATTTTTTTTCTCGAAAAACAAAAGGCGAACGATGGAAAGGTCCACCACTCCACGCGGAGAAATGAGAATTTTTCCTCGATTGAGCGTTGAACCGTGACCACGATCGGAAGTATCCCTTTCTTTCCTCAATTCTCAGCCAACCAGTTTACACCCTTTTCGCCTCGAGAGTGACATAACAGCGAATGTAGCAACGATCGAGTTAATTATTCACGGTCTAATAGAAGAACCGGTATATAAACGATACTTGATACTCCACTCTGTTGTGGAGAACTTTGGAGGATAAAATGAGATAACGTGAAATGGAAAGTTGCGAATTAAATTACGTTATGCGCGATGCCAAAATGACGCGAGCGAAAGAATGGAGTTGGAATACTTATCGGGGAAATTTTGAAAGAAGGTTTACCACGGGATAGAAATTCAATAGATATAAACTGGTTCGCAGCCGTTCCACTTTCTAATTGCGAACACCGTTCGCTTTTTCAACACCTTTGGCCCTCGTTTCGCGAAATAACTGGCCCACCGCCAACGATAAGATTGAAAAGATTGCGCGACACAAGCGAGGATGAAACAGCGATCGCTTTCACTCGATGCTAGAATTTTACAAAAGGTTCGTGACATCTGTCGGACGTCTATCAGGGAACACTGTCTGTTTCCATTTTCGCTGCATTTTCGTGAACACCACTTGTAATTAAATATTCGCTCAAGAATCTCGAATCTGATCGCAATTACGACAAGATCTCATCTCGTCGAACGTCTCTGAAATACAACAATGGTCCTTTGTTGCGTTCCCTCTTTCTCTTTCTCTCGACATTCTACTTCGAAATTATAATCGGGGGATATCGTACGCGGATTTCCTAATGAAACGTGACTGTGCTTCCATTAAGAACCACGGAGAACAACATCTATCCGTGACAACGCCTATAGAAACGATCGATCGGGTTTCTCCCCGGTGACGTCGTTTTGCACTCGCATTCCGTCGAATTTTCTGAACGGTCGACCTCGATTATCGCGTTGTGCACGTTGCACAATTCGCCTTTCTCAAAGGACTCTCGGTTCACGTTTCGCA